CGTGTAAATATTTTGGTACAGATCAAAAGATTTTATACATAAAGGTTTCCTTTGTGCTGGCTAACTGTCGAGATATAAATTTTTTGGTATTTAAAGATGAAACATTTTATTTGTGGGTCATAACGTATTTTATTATTAACATTAATTTGCTATTATTTTTCTCTTAATATTGTCGCTTTTTCTTCTTAACACTCTTCATTATTACAATTATTTTATAAACTAGTTTTATTCCATCTTATTATTGTTGCTTTTTATCTCAACACTCTGGCCCTATACACTTTTCATTATTACTATTATTTTATTGCTAGTTTTATTCTTATTATTGTTACCTTGTATCCAACAATCTGGCGCTATACACTCTTCATTGTTACTATTACTTTATTACTAGTTTTATTCTTATCATTGTTACCTTGTATCCAACAATCTGGCGCTATACACTCTTCATTGTTACTATTATTTTATTACTAGTTTTATTCTTATTATTGTTACCTTGTATCCAACAATCTGGCGCTATACACTCTTCATTGTTACTATTATTTTATTACTAGTTATATTCCATCTTATTATTGTTGCTTTTTATCCCAGCAATCTGGCGCTATGCACTTTCATTATTACAATTATTTTATTATTTTATTCCAACTTATTATTTTTGTTTTTTTATCCCAACACTCTGGAGCTATACAATCTTCATTATTACTCTTATTTTCATTCTAGTTTTATTCCATATTATTATTGCTTTTTATCCCAACAATCTGGCGCTATACACTCTTCATTTTTACAATTATTTTATTACTTGTTTTATTCCATCTTATTATAGCTGTTTTGAACCCAACACTCTGGCGCTATACATTCTTCATTATTACAATTATTTTATTATGAGTTTTAATCCATCTTATTATTGTTGCTTTTTATCCTGGCGTTATCCAATCTTCATTATTACTATTTTGTCTCCAATTTTCTCGGAAGTTTCTGTAGCCTTTAATGTCAGCGCGTCTTATACTCTGAATTAGAAATGGAATCGGAAAACAGCCTCATAATAAGTGTTTTTCAAATATTGTACTGTAACGGCTCTGTGATCTTTACTGCAGCTGACAAATTCGAGAAACGCAATTGCATTACATTTTGTGCCACGTAGCGCTATTCTGCAACCTGTACATCAAAATTCTTCGTTAGACTTTTGCCGAACATTCATTAAATTGAAAACGAATTTCAGTTTAATACGCACGTATGATGGGCGGTCAAATGGCAAAAAAGGAACGATATATATATATATATATATATATATATATAATTATTTATTTGAAAATATGATTCCAACACGCTACATAAGAGTTCTCATGTTCCAAAACAAGAGCCGAAAACTTCAATATAATTATTTGAATTAAATTGAATTAATGTTCTAATTAATGTTCCATCTTCAAGCGAAATTTTTTTGGGAATAACTTATTTCTGAAATTTACGTGTTTTAATAGCATATTCATTATTGAAATCAAAATTTCCATGGTAACGGCTAGAGCGATTGTTTAAATAGAAAGGGGTTTAGGGTGTTAATAATTTGTATCAGTATAGAGTTACATTCATAGATATCAAGTAAGGTTAAGGTTGGTGTGTCTAAATTTAAAACGGAAGATGATTTCGCCTAGTCTGGTTTACGTGGCTATGGAGATTTATTTATTTTTTATTTTATTTTTTTCTGAAATGGTTTTGTGTATATAAAAAAAACTGCCGTAACATTTTTTTTTAAAGACTTCATAAAGGGTTATCTTTTTTGTAGGTAACTATTTATTAGGACTATGGATTATTCAATGCAAAAATTTGATGATGTCGGCAAAAAATCGTTAACTCATGTCTATTATTTAATAGATTTTTATTATTTAGAAACTTAATAATATATTATATATATATATATATATATATATATATATATATATATAAAAATCCAGGTAGGTGATGACTGGCGTCTAGCCAATGACTGACTTTTTTTCATGTTTTGCACAATGTAACTGCCAACTTGTATTTTAATTTAATATTGAAGCAATTGGCATCGAGTATTTTTCTTGACAGTAAGCAACTTTTATTTACTCGTTTTAGGAATACTATTCTTTTGTTATATATATATATATATATATATATATATATATATATATATATATATATATATATATATATATATATATATATATATATATGACCGAGTGGTTAAAACCTTCATTGTGACCATGAGAGTCGGGTTCTGAATCTCACCATTCGATTTGTCAGGAAGGAGATTCCTGAGGTTATTGGATTGGTGGAATCGATCCCAGCGTGTGACATCTTTGGAAAGTGATTCAAGACCATACTATGGGTTGACCTAAGCTAAAAGTGAAATGGGTAGACGGTTACCCATGGGTACTGTCGATAGCTGTACCAGCACGAGATCACAAGTCATCGTGGCTGGGGGCTTGAGTGTGTGGACTTTGTTCAAATTGTTGATCACGCTATATAACACGCTCTTTCCCAGAAATTGTAATTAAGGTCTGCTCAGCATAGTTACAGGTGGGTCTGTCGGTGTTGAATAAACACAACTGAGTTTGAGCGAGCGTCTGCAATAGGGATTGGCTAGCCGCCCTAGTAGACAAATATGGCCTTTTTCGAATACGATTATATATATATATATATATATATATATATACACACACACACATATATATATACACACACACACATATATATATATATATTGGAATATATATATGAGGAATCTAAATGGAATAATAATAAAAAAAAACGAAAGAATATTAATCTACAACCCAGTGTGTCTAAAGATTTTAATTTTTTTATTTTTTTATTGTTCAATATATATATATATATATATATATATATATAAAAGGTGAAGGGTTAGAGTTGGTATTAAAAAAATTTTTCCAATATACATGTAAAAATAAAATAAAAATAACATGTAGACCATTAAACTTTGAAAAAGAAGAAGAAGAAGAAGAAAAAGAAGAAGAAGAAGAAGAAGAATGAGGAGGCGGACGATGAGAAGAAGAAGAAGAAGAAGAAGAAGAAGAAGAAGAAGAAGAAGAAGAAGAAGAAGAAGAAAGGCGAAGAAGGATATGAGGCGGACAGAAGAAGAAGAAGAAGAAGAAGAAGAAGAAGAAGAAGAAGAAGAAGAAGAAGAAGAATGAGGAGGCGGACGATGAGATTGTCAAGAAGAAGAAGAATGAGGAGGCGGACGACGATTAAAGAAGAAGAAGAAGAAGAAGAAGAAGAAGAAGAAGAAGGGAAAAGTTGTTAGGAGGAATACCAAAGAGAAGAAGAGGAAGAAGAAGACGAATGAGAATAAGAGGAGAGGGAGGTGGAAAGAGGAGAAGAGGAAGAATGAGAAGAAGAAGAAGAAGAAGAAGAAGAAGAAGAAGAAGAAGAAGAAGAAGAAGGGAAAAGTGGAGGAGGTATATGAAAGAGTGGAAGAGGAAGAAAAAGAGGAAAAAGAAGACGAAGGAGAATAAGAGGAGAAGGAGGTGGAAGAAGAAGAAGAAGAAGAAGAAGAAGAAGAAGAAGAAGAAGAAGAAGAAGAAGGTGGGAAAAGTGGAGGAGGAATATGAAAGAGAAGAAGAAGAAGACGAAGGAGAATAAGAGGAGAAGGAGGTGGAAAGAGAAGAAGAAGAAGAAGAAGAAGAAGAAGAAGAAGAAGAAGAAGAAGAAGGGGAAAAGTGGAGGAGGAATATGAAAGAGAAGAAGAGGAAAAGAAGAAGAAGAAGAAGAAGAAGAAGAAGAAGAAGAAGAAAGTGTAATGCATCGGTGGTGGGGATTAAATAACTTTTTTATATCTAGAGTCATATGCACTTAAAATTATCTGATATGTGAGCAAGGACTTAAGATTACGGATTTCTGGTTTAAAAGGTTTTTGGGATCCGGAAATGGCATAAACGCTAATTTTTTTTCTGTTGTCAGAGGTTGCAAATATTGTGATTGTTGTCGGGATTTGCCTTTTAAAAAAATTCCACCTTACAATTGGATCCCTGTTGCTTTTTTCTTTTAAATTCCATACATATTTAGCGAGTTTGCTAGAGTACCTAAGATTTAATAGCTTGACTAACAACGTATGATACTACCATCTTCGTTTGAAATTACCTTCCGTACATCCTATGTACGTTTTATTTTGATCATTAAAATCTGTTACTTCTGTTTTATGAATTAGAGCTTTTGTAATACAAGTTCAATTTAATGGACATCTATTTTTATTTCTACAGTTGCATTAATTGCTAGTGTTAACTATATTTTGCTGCGCGTTAGTTTTCAGATTTCTGGCGTTTTATCTAATTTTGTTTCTAGATTACTAGCTTAATTTAACTGTGTTTTTATTGAATATCTTATGTAATTCTTAATTTTATGTAATTCTGAATTTACGGGGGAAGTGTTTAGTAAGCAACTTGAAAAATAATTTATCTATTTTACATTTTACCACTAAATTTAAATGGAGGGGGGGTTAAACTAAATGATATTTATTCTTTTCGTTCGAATTGTTCTTCATATGTTGTTTAATTTGAAGTTTAAATTCTAGTTTGGTTTTGTGACCCTCTACCGTTAAGTTCTCATATTCTTTCTTTTTATCGTCAACATTTATTCTACTAGAAGAATTTCTGGATAACGTAGACTCTATTCATTTAGGGATTTGATTTATTATATTTGCAGGGTGGTTAGATCTAATATTCACATATTCTAATTTTCCGTTGGGTTTCAATTATGAGGAGACACTGTCAGCTTGAAGATTTAATTCTAAGTCCAGATAATTAATAACTTTTTTTATTCATTTCGACTTCTATTTCAAAGCCGAAACTTTTGAAGTGTTTGAAAAGTGCTTTTCTTATATTCTCATTTGTTCTTCTGTTGTTTGGCGCTATCATCAGGCCGTCATCCCTATACAGGCCACGGTTGTTTATATGTACAATTTTGTTATATTACATATAAGATATGTAGAGGTATTAACCTCGAAATCTCAGTTCCGTCAAACGAACTTTATGGTACATCAAATCTGTCTCTGTCTCTATCTCTCTCTCTGTCTCTCTGTCTGTCTGTCTGTCTCTCTCTCCCTCTTTCTCTCTCTCTCTCTCTCTCTCTCTATATATATATATATATATATATATTTAAAGTATAATTCATCTTTTATTGAGTTTTTTTTCTTAAACCTATCTATATATTTAAAAAAAAAAAAAAACTTTTCGTCCCACTCTTAGTTTCAAATTAAGATTTCCTTCTTCATATAATCCCTATTTAATGTCATAAGGTTAATAACCGGGTTTAATTTTATAAAACCCTTTCCTTTAAGTCCACCAACTGCTGACCACTGTCTCGTGCTTTTCGTCTGACTGAAACATTGAAATGGATAAATTCTGTATTCATTTTTCGACAGCAACATAGAGGCTGGTCAGTACTTCGTTGGGTGACCGCTTGTGAACACCAAGTGCTGTATGCTTCGATGTGCGTTTGGTATAACTTACGACTATATCACTTTGAAACGACGGTTCTCGTAGGATCAACGAAGTTAAGCAACATCCAGCCTGGTCAGAATTTAGATGGGTGACCGCTTGTGAAACACCAAGTGCGGTAGGCTTCGATGTGCCTTTGGTATGGATTACGGCCATATCAGGTTAGAAACACCGGTTCCCGTAAGATCACCGAAGTTAAGCAACATCGAGACTGGACAGAACTTAGATGGGTGACCGCTTGCGAACACCAAGTGCTCTAAGCTTGAATGAGCGGGTGGTATGGATTACGGCCATATTATTTTGAATCGCCGGCATGGTCACCGAAGTTAAGCAACGCCATATCTGGTCAGTACCTAGATGTTTGACCGCTTAGGAATACTAGGTTCTGCAAGCGTGGATGTGCATCTAATATAGCTTACGGCTGATGTCATTTTGACACCTGTACGAGCACCGAAGGTAAGCAACGTCGAGCCCGATCAGAAATTTGTTTCAGTCACCCAGATAGAACAAGTTAAAAGGTATTTTGTTTTCAAGTTTGAGTGAAAAAAATAGTTTGCTTTTTGTTCAGTATGATAAAACATTTAATATGATTTTAAAATCTTTTCTCTCAGTGTTAGATATTCATATCTATCTATTTACCTACCTATCTATCTAAATATCTATTTCTTTCTCGGGTGAAATCTATCTGTCACTGGTCAAATCTATCTATCTATCTATCTATCTATCTATCTATCACTTCCTCTTTCTCAGTTAAAATCGATCTATCTATTTACATCAGTCTCTCTCTTTCTCAGGTGAAATCTATCTATCTATCTATCTTATTCTACTCATATCTATCTATCTATCTATCTATCTATCTATCTATCTATCTATAACAGACTGTCTCTTTCTCAGGTCAAACCTATCTATCTATCTATCTATCTATCTATCACTTCCTCTTTTTCAGATGAAATCGATCTATCTATTTACATCAGTCTCTCTCTTTCTCAGGTGAAATCTATCTATCTATCTACTATCTATCTATCTATCTATCTATCTATCTATCTATCTCTTTCTCAGGTCATATCTATATATCACAGGTCAAATCTATCTATCACTATCTATCTATCTATCTATCTATCTATCACTTCCTCTTTTTCAGATGAAATCGATCTATCTATTTACATCAGTTTCACTCTTTCTCAGGTGAAATCTATCTATCTATCTATCTATCTATCTATCTATCTATCTATCTCTTTCTCAGGTCATATCTATATATCACAGGTCAAATCTATCTATCCATCTATCTATCTATCTTTCTATCTATCTACATCAGTCTCTGCCAAATCTATTTTGAGTGAAAAAATCAGTTTGTTTTTTGTGAAGTATGATCAAATATTTAATATGATTTTAAAATCTTTTCTCGCAGACTCATGTCAGAGGAAGCGAAAGAGGCTGGTGAAACTGGAGGGTAAGCTCCATCAATAGCGAATCCAATGATCTGTTATTGTATATTAGTCCTGTCACTCGCGGGTACCTAACTCTGATTTGTCTCCGAGTTCCCGTCCGGACTTTGTAAGATGGATGAGACATAAGGCAGGCGCTTTATTGAATTCCAAATGGAGAAGAATTATGTTGTTTAAATGTGGTCGCCGACAGAGCAACGATGCTGAGACAATGGTTGATGTTGACGCCGGCGGTCTGCGAACCCCGCTAGGCATCGTTATTTACAAAATTCGAAAGTGACGACATTATTCAAAGATTTACAGAGTATTTCCATCATCTCGAATCCCTCGAGTAAATGCATTTAGACAAAGTTCTCCGGATCCAGGGGAATGGCCTCTCATTATTTATCGTTCTGACGCAGCAGCCGTCCGCATGTTTCGAGTGAGACAATGCGAGATTCATTCACATATACACTTACCGGAACCGAAAAATTCTACAGTGGTTTGCTAAATATCTATCTATCTATCTATCTATCTATCTATCTATCTATCTATCTATCTATCTCAGTCTGTTAATATCTATCTATCTATCTATCTATCTATCTATCTATCTATCTATCTATCTATCTATCTATGTCTGTTCATATCTGTCTAAGTCAGTTCCTATCTATCTATCTATCTATCTATCTATCTATCTATTTATCTATCTATCTATCTATCTCAATCTGTTCATATCTATCTATCCATCTATCTATCCATCTATCTATCTATCTATCTATCTATCTATGCCTCTCGCTTTCTCAGGTGAAATCCATCTCAGATCAAATCTATCTATCTATCTATCTATCTATCTATTTGATATCTATCTATCTATCTATCTATCTATGTCTTTCTCAGGTTATATCTATATATCACAGGTCAAATCTATCTATCTATCTATCTATCTATCTATCTATCTATCTATCTATGCCTCTCGCTTTCTCAGGTCAAATCTATATTCAGGTCAAATCTATCTATCTATCTGTCTATCTATCTATCTATCTATCTATCTATCTATCTATCTATCTATCTATCTCTTTCTCAGGTCATATCTATATATCACAGGTCAAATCTATCTATCTGTCTATCTCAGTCTGTTCATATCTATCTATCTATCTATCTATCTATCTATCTATCTATCTATCTATCTATCTATCTATCTATCTCTTAGGTCATATCTATATATCACAGGTCTAATCTATCTATCTATCTATCTATCTATCTATCTATCTATCTATCTATCTATGCTTCTCGCTTTCTCAGGTGAAATCTATCCCAGGTCAAATCTATCTATCTATCTATCTATCTATCTATCTATCTATCTATCTATCTATCTATCTCTGTCTTTCTCAAATCTATCTATCTATCTAATTTTCGCAAGTTTTGTTTACTTACTTTTAATACGACCGTCTCGGAATTATGACAAGTTTCTTAGTATACTCATTAAATGAAGAAAGAAAAATAATTCTGATGAACACCCACATTTTTGTCTTAGAAAAACCAAGATCCTGATGATGACATTGTGCTAATGTCGAAAGTACTCTGATTAAAATGAATATGCGTCAACATGGTAATATTTTGCCTCCTTTGATAAAGATACTAAGAAACTTGTCCGAAATTACGAGAGGATCGTATTACAAAAAAAACAAAAAAACAAAAAAAAAAACAAAAAAAAAATAAACTTGTCTAAATCATTTGCATAGAGGTTTATCACGATAAACATACACAATTCCGGAAAATCCTTGTTGAAAACATAACTATACTTAAACATGAAAACAATAAACAAAAACTTAAAATTTTTGAAGCTATATACAAAAAACAATTGAAACCTAACCTGAACAAAATAAACTATGAAAACTCCATAAATATACTTAAATGCCTATAATTGGTAACAGAAGCCATTTGTTTTTACCAACGGCTTCCCATACTTAATACTTCTCGTTTTCACTCTCGCGTGGTCACGTGTGACGTCATGAGCTGCGATGCGATTTTTGCATCCAGCGTCTTATATGCACGAGTTTGTCGTTACTTGGAAATCTTCCATTTTATCAGAAACAGACTATCATCACTTACTTGTCCGTGTATTGCGTAATATATTGTACTGTAATTGTCATCTTTGATAATGGCTTATGTAAGCCGAAAGCTTAGATTGGATTAAAAAATATGGATCAATATTGTGATTTTCTTTCTTCGTTTAATGATAATGCTATTAAGCTTATCAAACGATATGAAAAGAATTTACATAAAATAGACAACACTTGTCTATTTAATAAAGCATGTATCAATATAATATATATATATATATATATATATATATATATATATATATATATATATATATAATATATTGTATCAAAATTCATTTACTTTGGGGTCGGGTTCCGCCCAAGAAATCAAGGACAAAAATCCATATAAACATATGCCTGCAAGTCCTTCGTTTTTGTGTTATTAAGTATTGTGGCCTTGTCAGGGCTCGAAATAAAGGCACAAAGAGAGTAATTGTGTTATATATTAACAGAAACAGTAATACAAACATATACAAACGAGAGTGTTACAGCAAGAATGTTCGGTCCGACTGTCAGAGCTGAGCGTTGGAAACTTCCCGATATTTATTTGTACAATGTTACAAAATCGGCACAAGGTCAAAATGGGGAATGGAGAAAAAGACGTTCTTCATCTGTCTTAACTTTAAACTTAGCTAGCCATAAACACTGACCCAAACATACAAACAATATTTCTAACACCAAAATAACGCATTCTTAATTACCTTTCTTACTACATCTACCATAATACCTCATTGTCTCTATGATTATCTTAACTATTCCCCATATGTATAATTCATTATCTGTAATAAAGAATAAATTTAAAAACTAGGCCCAATGAATCTTTACAATATGAATACAATCTATTTACATGAAACTAAACAAAATAATGTCAATAATAAAAAAAAAACCCAATCCTTAAATGTGGCAGAAACATCAGTTAACTGGACGAAATCAATGCGGGATTATAATAATATAAATACATTCATTCATCCCAAGAACTTGCACAGACACGCACTGCTGGAAACTTCACTCTCCAAAAGGCAGTACCTGCTCCTATTTATAGCTGGGAGAGTCCATGGGTGCGTGGGTAAATTGCCATAACATTAAACGAAGTTTAGGCCACATGGCACTGTGTTGCATTAGGACTAAGTAACATTTGTCAGTCGTGTACATTTGTAGCTAGACTGTCATCAACGTTTAATGTGTGTTGTAGTGTGTCAACTGAGTAGCTTTCCGTTTAACTATGGCAGGATATTAATGTGAGCAGGCGGATATGAACAAAGATCGTTATAAAAGATTCTATTTAAAAATGCTACGTATGAAACATCACTTCCTTGTTTTCATTATTCATTTTTTAAAAAAAAAAAGACAGGGAGAAACACCATAAAAGAAAAATAAATATTAAAGGAAAAGAAAATAATAATAATAATAATAATAGTAATAATAATAATAATAATAATAATAAACGGAAAACGTGGAAGAAAAAAGAAAGAAAAAAGACGGGACAAAAGAAGACAATATGTGTTGATTATAGCAATTCAGCTAAAGAAAGAATGAACATTAACATTGAGATAAAAAATTATCTCAAAATATTTAAACTCAACCGAAAATGCTTGCTGCAGTGAAACATTCTTAAAGTTTAAAGTTTATTTGTATATATATATATATATATATATATATATATATATATATATATATATATATATATATATATATATATATATATATATAAGTGGACTATGGACGTCAGCACCTAGCAATAAACATTCTATTTCATGCTTAAAACCGGCAATTTTCAGAACATTTAGTATGCATCTCTACAGGTGAGGAATAAAGATGGTTATAAATGATTCTGTATAAAAATGCTACTTCAGAAACATTACTTTGTTTTTCTCGTCATTAATTTTTTTTTAAAAAGGCATAAAAAAGAAACAGCATAGAAGGAAATAAATATGTCAAGGGTTTCCATCAAAGGAAAATAAAATAAAATAATAATACGAAGAAGAAAAAGTTGAAGAAGAAGAAGAAGAAGAAAACAAGTAAAAGCAAGTAGAAAAGGATAAGAAGACAATAAAAGAAAAAAAAAGAAAAAGAGGAAAGAGAAATATAAGAGTTAAGAAAAATGAAAAGACAACACGTCATAAATGCAAAGAAAAAGAAGAAAAGAAGAGAAGAGAAAAACGAAGAGGAGAAAGATGTACATGAATACGAAAAATGGAAAGAAGGAGAAAGAGAAAAAGAAAGAAATAAAGAAGGAACAAAAGTAAGACAATGTGTGTTGTTGATAACAATTCAGCCAATGAAAGAATTTTAACATTAAAATAAAAAAAAAATATCTCGAAATATTTAAACTCAACCGAAAAAGCTTGCTACATTGAAACACTCTTAAAGTTTGACGTTATTCAAAAAAGCAGACACATTATTTATTTTTGTGTGATTATATATATATATATATATATATATATATATATATATATATATATATATATATATATATATAAAGAATAAATTAAATATGATTTAAAATATTTTTTTTCCACCAAAGTTCTAAAAAAATATTTAAATCAATTTCATTTCTCTATTAATGCTCTGTAAATTTACATCGAGCACTATTTTGTAAAATAAAAATATCTATAAGGACACCGGATTATATATCTTAAAAGAAGTTCTTTCTTTATAAATATATATATATATATATATATATATATATATATATATATATATATATATATATATATGTATATATATATATATATATATATAGATATTATTTATTAATTGATTTAAAATATGTTGTTTTTTTCCGCTAAACAGTTCTAAAAAAATTTAAATCAATTAATTTATAATAAAATGTTGTAAATTTACATAGAAGACTATTTTGTTTAAATAAAAATATCTATAAAGAACACCGGATTATATATCTTACTGTTCTTTTTTTATTCATATATATATATATATATATATATATATATATATATATATATATATAATTTGCATTTTATAATATTTCTGAAAACTAATAGTGCTGATTTTCAAAATATACATATATATCATTTTTCGAAATATTTGTATATCAAATAAAATTATGCTAATCGTCTTTCTAATTTTTTGTAAATTTTCAAAACAAACGTTGGCTAGATTGGGGCAAATGTCCCAGGTTATCTTTTTAGTTGGATGAGTATCGCTGCTTTTTCTGGTGAGTCCTCGCGATATATCGAGTATTCAATTTGTGTCTTCTTCGTCAATAAGGCCCGTTGGAATATGACGTTTGTGTTGTATCCGGTGGGTTCGATTCCAACGAAGTGGATGCACACTGCTGATGAGTCCCAGATAGGACGAAACGGCCGTCCAGTACTTTCTGCATTCTTTTGAGGATTACTCCTGGCTCGACGAATTACTATATATATATATATATATCGCTTGGAAAAAACCTTGAGTATTTCTGCTTGTATTTGAACAAACCAATACCCAATGAAAAATAAGGGATAAAAAAGAAAGAACTAAGAACATGAAATTGAGGCAAAACAATCGTCCAGAATTCAAGCTCAGAGTCCAAAGAAAAAAAAACTCGAAAACAAGTAAAAGGAAATAAGTAAAGAAGCAGAGCAAACCTAATATAAACCTAAAAAGCCAGGCAAACCTACCTAGGTTTTTCCTAAACGGATCATCAGGGTCAATATATATATATATATATATATATATATATATATATATATATATATATATATATATATATAAAACATTAAATATAACATCCAATGAATGTCTATTATGAAGATAATGAGCCGTTCTAATTTAAAATGTGTCTCAATAGACTTATTAATATCTCTGACAAAATTGATAATATTAATAATAATAGTGTACATCAAAAGAAACAAAACACGCAACTATCTTTTTATGACCCCCTAGGTAATATTTATACTCAAAGAGATGGTATTGCGATGGGATCTCCTTTAGGCCCCCTTTTTCTAATTATTATATAGGACATTTAGAAAATAAAATACTTAATGACACTAATATATCCCATATATATATATGTAAAATACATAGATGACATTTTCATTTTTGCTAAAAATATTGATCAAATTACACAAAAACAATATTTGTCTATATTTCTGAGATGAGGTAATATGTACATTGTTTACATTATTCGAAATATTGTCTTCATTTTCGTCGTCATATTTATTACAACGTTTCGGACATATGGCACAGTGGATAAAGGCGTTGGTTAGATCCAGTGACAGGACCCAAAGAGTTGTGAGTTCAATACCCGGTTAAGGCAGTGGAGAATTTTCAGAGGGAAATTAACAGGAGATAACTGATAACTGACATCCATTAAACATGGCTAGTGGAACTAGAACATTCTACACCAGTGAGCGAAATAAAGGGTTCAGTTCGACATTCCAACCACCTGAAGAAGGCCGAAGCGTACAACAGCCGAAACGTTGTAATAAATATGGCGACGAAGATGAGGACAATAGTCTGAATAATGTAAATAACGTACATAAAAAAAAAAATTTGAAAGTCAAAAAAATCAAATTTGCATAAGAATTTAATGTTAATAATAAAATTCCATTCTTTGATGTATTTATTGATACCAGCAGGCATAAATTTACTACTTTTCTATACAGGAAAACCACTATTATTAACTAGTGTCTTCTTAATTATAATATAAATATAATATCGCAATGATATAACTTAATCGAACGCACACAAATGATATCTTCTTCAAAAACCAGAATTCTATAAAGAATTACATAACATTAAACAAACACGTGTTAATAATGGATTTCGTAACTCCGCCATTGATCAACAAATTAAAATGTATCCCCATAAACTTAATAATACCTCTAACAAAATTGATAATATTAATAATAATTTTAGCCATATTAGTGTACGTAATACTAGTATACATAATATTAATTTATATATTGTAACCCACATGCATAATAATTACAAACATGATGAAACAACACTTAAATACATAATAGCTAGAAATGTTAAAAACATTAATAATAATAAACAAGTTAATCATATATTATAAAAATAGTCTCTAATAACCCTGCAACCACACAACTAAATCCTCTACAAAAAACCAATGTAATGTATCAATTTACATGCCCGTTCAGAGATTTTTAGAAATAAAAAAATAAATAAATACTATGTTGCTTAATAACCGAAAACCGAAAATATACAAGTAAAATAAATTGACCTAAATTCATCTAAGTAAATAAATAAACAAACCAATCTCAAACCAATAATCAATTAAAACCTGTTCCCGCCAAAATAATAGTTAGAATGAACTACAACAATCAACCCCAAAATTGAACAAATAGCTTTAATTAAATTCTCAAACCAAAACAAACTGTTAAATAAGTGATTTTAAACAAATTTTTTACTACGTTAATAAATAAATAAAAAAAAAAAAAAAAAAAAAAAAACAAAGCAATATAATTTGACCCAAATAAATAAACAAACGACTTCCGGTAAAAAATAACCGCCATAATAGAATACCCACAATGCACCACTAACCCGTATATATATAAAATAGCCGAGAAAAATAACAGCATATGTGGCCTGACGATTGCATATAGCATGAAACAGACTGTCGCCTCTAAGTGTTGACTTCTATGTTCACTTTTATATATTTACGCTCTATCTCTGATATTGATACTTTATTCCATAAATATAGCATACCTTAAGACTATATTTCTTTATATATATATATATATATATATATATATATATATATATATATATATATATATATCTTCTGATCTTTAAAATATAGATTATATTAAATATTATTTCTTTTCTGTGTGTGTGTATACAAAAAATGTATAGTCAATTCCGGTTTTTTTGAATTTAATTTATTTTAGGTCAGCGATTCAGAAACGTATTAGACATTTTAAAATTTTGTTTTCTTCTTATCCTTCTTTAAAAAGCTGGTAATTATGTGTTCATCTTTGATTTTTTTCCTGTTCTTCTCTCGTCTGTTAGTAATTCTTTATATTTTTCATTTAATATTGTATTTTTGTCCAGATTCTCATACATATGACTCTTTGTAATTTTGCAAAATTTTTTCATCAATTTGTTTTTCTGTTTTTTTTTTTGAATTTTTATGTCTGATGAATTGGATATCTTACATTCCAATGGAATAAATTATTTTCACCATATTGTGCTAGTGTTTAATATTTTTTATTATATATATATATATATATATATATATATATATATATATATATATATATATATATATGTTTTTTTCTTCTTTTGTGTTCTGGCTTTGGAAATCAAATTTATTAATTCTCGATTTCCATCGTTAACTTTGAATTTTTTTCATTTAAATACAAAAATTTATTATTTTCAATCTTATTTTAATTCTTTTTCTTTTATTGTTCTCTTTTTTTTATAGTTTGTATCTCATTTTTTTTTACACCTTCTTTTATTTAAATTTGATGTTACTATTACCTTTTTTATTCCTATCCGAAACCCAATATTCATAATCCTTTTCCTTGAAAGGCTCCTTTTTTAACAAATTGAAACCTACTTTAGAAAATGTAAAAAAAAAAATAACTGGTACATTTGTGTGGCACATTGCTAAAGTCCTAAATTAAATATTTTTTTATATTTAATTTCATTTTCTTACGTCTTTTCATGCAATTCCTATTTTCTGAATGTCTGGCATTTGAAAAGAACCAGCCTATTCATTTTACCCCCTCAGATAAACATGTATTTTCAACAATTGTAATTTTTATAGAATATTCTTTTTGTTCTTTTTCAAAACTTTATCAACAATTTACGAAACCATAAAAATCAACGGGAAAATTCTAACAGGATACTATATAATATTGACAAAATATTTGTATGACGTGCGTCCATCGCCTCAGGTCAGTTTCAAAAATGATTTTTTTTTTAAAATGATTACCCCCAAGGTATACGTCTGCCTGACCATTTTGACCAAGATACTTTCTTGTCAATTTGGTTTAAATCCTTGTAAATTTTTAAGTTATTTACCCATTTAAATAATCTTCCATAAATTTATTCCATATCAAAAAAAAGGCAAATTTATTTTTATATTTTTCAAAAATAAAAATTTGGAAGCCATGGAATTTGAAAGCAAAATTCGGTCTTTACCAATAACATTGTTAAATTTAGCCGATAAAATGGAACCAGAAATTAATTTTTCTCTTACGGAACACTCATGTCTAATTAATTTAGGAAATAAATGGAAAAATATAACAACAAAAAATGAATCAAATAAAAAAAAAAAAGTTGTAAAAAAATTTAAACAAAGATATAACGGAAGAAATAAATAAAGAAATAAATAAATAAAAAAGAAATTAAATTCATTCACAAGAAATATAAAAAGAAAAAAAAAAAAAAAAACCAAAAAAGAAAGAAATATTTATTTTATGGAAAAATTCTATTAGGAAAGAAAAAAGACAGCAAGTGAAAACGAATAGAAAGAAAGGACGAAAGTCATAAACAAAGAAAGAAAGAAAGTAAAAAGAAAGAAAGAAAGAAAGAAAGAAAGAAAGAAATAAAAAGATAGTAAGAAAGAAAAGAAACGAAGATTTTTTGGAAAAAGAAATTTTAAAGAAATTTAGACAAAAAAGCGAAAACGAATAGAAATAAAGGACATTCAAATCATAAACAAAAAAAAAAAAGAAAAATAAAGAAAGAAAGAAAGAAAGAAAGAAAAAGAAAGTAAGAAAGAAAGAAACGAAGATTTTATGGAAAAAGAAAGGTAGGAAAGAAAGAAGACAGCAAGTGAAAACGAATAGAAAGAAAGGACGAAAGTCATAAACAAAGAAAGAAAGAAAGTAAAAAGAAAGAAAGAAAAAACAAACAAAAAAACAGTAAAAAAGAAAAAGTCTAGAAGATTTGATGGCGGAAGAAAGGTAGGAAGGAAAGAAGACAACAAGGCAAAGCGAAAAGAAAATAAGAACGAAAGAAAAGAATGAAAAAATAAAGAAGAACGAAAGTCAAAAGGAAGAAATTTTCAGAAGGAAAAAAAAAAAAAAAAAACTCAGAAAAGAAAGAAAGAAGGAAAGAAAGAAAGAAAAAAATTTCAAATTTCATTAATGAAAAAAAAAAGCCAAAGAAGGACAGAAGACAACAAGAAAAAACGAAAAGAAAGAAAGAAAAAAAAAGAAAGAAAAAAATGAAAAAATTTTGTCCTCTTAAAAAATATAAAATTTAAAAAATAAAAATGTTGACAAGTTGAAAGAAAAAAAAAAAAAAAAAAAAGTCTTTAAAGACAGGAACTGATTAACTTTTTAGGCGAAAAGAAGAAAAAAAAAGAAAATTGTAAGAAATAAAGAAAGAAATTTTAAAAAGAAAGGAAGATGGATAAGAAAATAACTATTTAAATATTTCTTTATATAAAATCCAAAGAATTTGCCAAACGCTTTATTGGTTTCAATTACTTGTTGAACTCGTCTTCAGTTACAGTTTCTTTAAACTTTGTCTTTTCTATAAGTAATTTCATCATAATTGTTCCGGTAGACATTCGGCTATGGTTTATTTTTATTCCCCATGAAACAGACAAATTGTATATATGGCAACTAATTAGGACTTCGTAAAAACTTGAGGTCTTATGGTAGCTGCAGTAGGAATGGTAAAAGTAAAATTGGTTGTTTTTGTATAAGAAAAACTGTTAGTATGTTTTGATTAGTAATTTTGGCTAGCTAAGTTTTCAGATAAATGTACAGATTGAAGGCCAGCCTTAATATCTCCCCCTTTTGGCCTTATTGAGCATTTTTTTTATTATATCAAAAATAAATATGGCTTTCCTCAATTTTTAACTAGTATCTCTTCATCATTTTGGATTTATTATGGTGGCTGTATATAAATTGGTATAGTAAGAATTGGTTGTTTTTTTTATAAGGAAGATGTAGTTGTTTGGATCAGTAATTTTTTAGCTAAGTTTAAGATAAGACCATTGAAGACCAAGATTTCCTCCCTTTTTCCTTTCTATTCAAATTTTTATTGTATCAAAATAAATATATCTCTCTGCTATGGTACTTAGACGTTATGGATTTAAGCGCATTACTGGTTCGGCACTTTGATCTCAACATTGTCATTGAAATTTCAGATTGAAACCATAAGTTCTATAAATAAATTTTTCTTCTCGCACTTCTCGACTGTGGAACGCTTTCGGTTTCTTGCTTTCAAGCCAACTTTGATCTTCAAAAATTTAAATGCAATGTCGATCTTCTGTCTTCGTAATTTTTGTTCTTTTATTGGCCTCTCCACTTAACAATGCGTTTGTTTTTCTGATATTCTTTCTCACTCAGTTAACCCTTGCGTGTTAGTGGCTTTATTGCCTTGCTTTGGGTGACAAGATTTTAGAAAAAAGAGACTAAAACATAGCGCAGTGATTCACCTGTTTATCCACTCTGGAGATAATACAGGGTTTAAAACGTGTTGACGAAACAATAGGAGTTGTTTTTTTTTTTGCATTTTGTTCGGTAAAGGTCTTTTGTGATATCAACGTATATATCTTAATGCTCGTTATAGTAGAGACTTTGTAATCGCAGATACAACTATAGTAACGCCGTTGAACAATACTGGTGTCAGACGCCTTTGAATAACACTCGCACTGATAGTACTGACTCGATAATACTCGGTCAAAAAGTAACCATCGTATAGTGATCTAAATAGAGAAATAGTATAGTGAATAGAGTAGAGAATAGCGCTCCGAATAGTAATAGAGGATAGACTAGAAATAGAGATTCTAAGTAATAAAGGATAGAATAGTATGACGATCGTTGGACTTCACTAGACTAGTTTATATATTTTTTCTATGGATCACATAGTCTACTTAATTCAATAATGGGATCGCCTGTGTTTGTTCACTAGCGATCTATGTTCAAACTCAAGTGTCAGCAGAGGCAATTCATTCTAATATAACAAGGTCAAATAAGAGTCTTTTTAATTGATCCTGATTATTCTGGTTGTTAGAGATGCTTCTGTAAATTAACGGCTGATCACTCATTGACCTTTGACAGTTATATAATGGATTTTCTAAAGTATTCTTCTTGGACATAAATGCCACTGGATTATGGTTCTCCTGTTCATGCAGAATTGGCCTAATTAATCAGTTGCAATGGAAAATGAAACCTTATGGTTCATTCTATGCTTCCAGTTTCTTCTTATGTCCATTTCTCGCTTTGTTTAATTTATTCCGGCTTCTTGCTTAGAATTCAGAGGTTCCTCAAAAAAAAAATAATTTGTCAATCGTTATCTTCTGTCTTCTTAATTCTTGTTCTTTTATTGTCCAATTATTTTTTAATAGTTCCTTTTTCATATTCTCTAAAATTCAGATAACTGCTTTTGCATCTTCAGTGCCTTTTATTGCCTTTGATCTTTAAAAATTTTCTTGCAATAAGTCAATCGTTATCTTATGCCTTCTTAATTCCTGTTCTTTTATTGTCTTTTATTGTCCTCTTTCCTTAATTTTCCTTTTTCTCATATTCTCTAACATTCTTCTAAATCTTGTATCCTAGTGGCTTTAAAAAAATTTGATCTTCAAAAATTGAAATGCAATGTCAATCGCTATCTTCTGTCTTAAATACTTCTTCTTTTATTGTCATCTATTCTTATTAGTAATTTCTCTCATATTCTCTAAAATTCAGTAACCCCTTGCATCTTAGTGGCTTTATTGCATTTGGTCTTCAAAAATTGTAATGCAATGTCAATCGCTATGTTTTGTCTCCTTAATTCTTCTTCTTTTATTGTCCTCTCTGCTTAATAGTAATTTTTCTCATATTCTCTAACATTCAGTAACCCCCCTTGCATCTTAGTGGCTTTATTGCCTTTGATCTCCAAAAATTGAAATGCAATGTCAATCGTTATCTTCTATCTTCTTAAGTCCTGTTGTTTTATTGTTCTCTCCCCTTAATACTGTTTTTTCTGTTATATTCTTTCACACTCTGTATCCACTTGCATTTCAGTGGCTTTACTGCCTTGCTTAGAGTGAAATCATTAAAATCAAATATCCTATATGTGTAATATAAAATTTCTGGTAACTGTTCGTGAGGAGATTGTAAACAAATTGAATGAAAATCCTGATTTGTTGGTCTTAAGTGTCTGTTCGGGCGTATATAGAGAAACATTTGATTCGTAATGATTTTCCCGGTCTTCACTAATGGCTGACATCATGGTGTCAATTTGGAATCATAAGAGAAACGTGAAATACTTAGGTAGAAGCCATACTTTGTAGAATCGCCTGGAATTATTTTCAGAAATTCCTGATTGAGTTTTAATTGTCGAAGCTGGTTGAAACCTCAGCATTGTTAATGAATCTGGTTCCTGGAATTACGGAGAATGTTGGGAAAGAGAAATAAATAAGTAAATGGAGTTATATGGAGAGGATGCTTCTGTTTAAAAGAAAATAGTTTATGTACGAATTCTTCAGATATAAAAGCGAAGGTCACATTTATTTATTTTATAGACGGCTAGAACTCAAAGAAAGATTTGGCGTTTTGTTGAATATCCAAAATATTAACTGAAAAATATTAAAAGATA